GAATTACCAGAGGCCCTGCTCTAAACTCACCCATAAAGCACATCAGCTGGCTTCCTAAATTATTAAGTCGGAGTTTACTTGGTCACCTCATCTTCCTGAAACTTGCTATGAAGACAGATATTTGGAGCCACATGGTTCAACTACAGAGGATTAGTCCTCTGGATGGTTTCTATAAATAATTTCCAGGCAGTTTATTCACTGTAGCTGATTAAGAGACAAGTTTAGAAAGACAAAGAGAAAAAAATGGAAGCTGCTTGCTCTTACTTTGGTATGGCTCCCACAGTAATGCAGCTCAAATAAAGACAGCCTTTTTCTAGTTGGAGCTGGCTAATACCATCTCCTTCAGCAATGTTAACATAATACCGCTTAACTGTTTTACTAAAAATAGAATGTTTCAAGAAATTACCAAAACAGTGTTCAGCTGTTACACAAGATAAAAAGTATATAGACACACTTCATTAAAAACATACAGCAGTGGAGTGCTCCTTCTTTTCATGGAGCCTTGCGCTTCGACGTTCCTCAGAGTATGCGTGTTGCTTTAGGGCATTGAAGACTTGATTTGACAGCTTTAAGTCCATCCCAATTCCATCCCCAACTTGGAATTCAGGTGCAAACTACAAGTAGAAATAACAGAAATTTAAGCATTGTTACTAGCAGGCACCAAAAGTTGGCACAAGCAAAAATTTCTCATTCTGATTTGGAAAAACCTGGGGTAGATTAGGACCTATGCGAAACCCACTTTGTGCAATGGTGCCACTATGCTAAAAAACATATTGCTCTAAACTCAGAACTCAAAGTTCTGCCCAAATTGATATGAGATTACCTAACATCCTGTAAAAATCGCACTTGCAGCATTTCCTTTTTTGCAGAAGTTGCACGAATTACATTAAAGAAAACGGAAGGTATGTACTACGGATAAACAGACTGAAAAGCTGTAAGTCACACAATTGACTGAAACTAAGTTACTCGGCTCATCAGGCAAAAATAAGTTAAAAAAAAATTAAGTTACATGATAGGTATGCTTTTCAAAAATATCCTCGGTGTTTTAATTGCCTGTGTACCAAACTTGCTGATAGTTTTGTTTTGCCAAAACAGTTCTGTGCAAATTCTTGAATCGTGGTCATTAATAAACTATTATTAAACAAAAAACCCATGCAACTCAAAATGCCAGTTTGAATAACTAATCCAAACACTGCATTGCTTTCATCTGATTAAAAAAAAATCAGCACTGTATACAGTACCACAGATGGACAAGCATTAGTGCTTTGGTTGAATTACAGCATTCCGGTTTTATACACAAAATAAGTTTCCTTAAGTTTTCGCTTACATTTTCCATGCGAGCAGTGTTCTTTCTTCCACATACCACTTCATCATGTTTAGTAGTAATGTCTTTTCCTTTGCCAATGAAGCCCCTTCTTGGTGTAGTAGTAGGTTTATCTGCCATCAGTAAGAAAAATAAAACAAACTTTACATCTAAACAAACATAACTAACACTCATAAAGGTTCCACAATGCCCACAAAAGTAACATAATTTTGTTCATTAAACAGAATAAAATACTTCAATTGTATGATGTTAATGCAGTCTTCCCTTATCCTACACGTGACAGCTTCTTTTGCTATGTTATGACTTATTTCTGTATCTTCTCTGGGGTGTCAGACATACTTCTGGTGTGTTAAAGACAGGAATATCCAAGATCATGTCCAGATGCCCCTAGCCAAACGTAGATGACAGATACGCATATCCCACAATACTTTCCACGTACAATAGTTATTTTGCCAGATTCAGCCACCGAAGCCAATATACTGGCAGACAGAAGCCTGAAGCTACCCGCCCAACTTCCTGCATAACACCTCCCAATTAGGTGACCTGATTTTACATACAACTGGTATGTCTCCTTACGTTCAAAAAACTACTTTAACTATGTCATATTCTTAGGTCTATTAACCAAAGAAATTGTATTGTTTAAAACTGCCACATACCTGCTCTATACGGATCATGACGGGTATCCTGCCAATCAACCTCATCCTCTGAGCTGTCACTGTCATAGGGATGCACCTTCCGATAATTTTCAAAGGATATGGAGACTTGAGAAACGGAACAAATAAGCATGACCATGATTACCAGGGACTTGCTACTTCCTCACAGCTCTGTCAACTTAAGCAGAGCGCCAAAAATATCTCCAAAGCAAAAATATTTCTTCTGATGAGGGTACCTTTGCTATCTCCATTGATCTTCTTCTCTTCACGCCGAAGCTGCGCATCATATTCCCTGTCAAATTCCATCTGCAGCATCTGAGCTAGCATTAGGTCGCTAGAAGTGTCAACATTTTCTCCTGTAATAAACGGTCCTTCAGCAACACTATGTAAAATGAAAACAGAAATTTAAAAAATTAAACACAGTAATTCGAACAGAAACACCGCTTTATACCATTTCGTCTCTCTATACAAAAGACCTCATGCAGAGCTGCATAGAAACTAATGGATCTCAACTCTCTGCCCTGCTCCAAGCAAACACTAAATATCAATAGACCATGACTTCATTTCTCTTTGCCACTCCTTTACAATGAAAATATTACTTAAACATTTACTTGTTTACCATGCTGTAAGAAGCATTAGGCTCTATTTTTAAGATGCCCTTCATGAAAGAGAAAGAAGGCATACAGGGGCGTGTGTGTGTATATATATATATAAAATCTCCTTAATTATATTTCAATATATTTTTACAAATAAATAAATAAAACAAATTTTTTAAAAAAAACAGTGTTTCTTTGATCTGCTCCACAGAAAAGACCACAGGCATAATTTGTATAAGTTTAGAACTAGTAAGCTCTTGGCCTATGTTTAGAGCTTCCAAGTATTAGAAGGATACAGGTGATACACCTGCCAGTTCTCAAAATAACATTCTGCACTGTTAACAGTGTCTAAAACGGAAGAAAAAAACCATTTCTGACAAAGTTTCTCAAAACGTAGCTTACAGACTGGCTTAAAGCACCCAAAACAATGCAAAGAAAATATCAAGAAGGAAGGAAGGGTGACAAAGAAGAGAATCTGAGGAAGAGTTTGAACTGGGGAAGCCATCTTCACTGAAAAAGACCTGCAGAAGCAGAATTAGGAGATAACAGGCAAAGCATTTACTATATTGCTACGCATTAAGCAGGTTGTAAGAAAATGCAGAAGAGAGAGAAGGTGGCTTCACAACTGCAGAGATCACTAATCCCGGATTTAAACTTACGCAACCACTTCAGGAAAAGCAGCATTTTCTTCTTCCAGCTGCAGTTCTTTCGCCAGCTGTTCACTCATTACATCAGCAAGGGAACACGATATTGATGTTGTGTTGGGAGCTCCCCACGGACACTGTAAACAAACATTTTGTTCAAGTCAGCAAGAAGTGCAGTGGCAACACAATAATCAGGATAACTTAGCTGTCACTGGCTCTAAAGTAAGCTCATGTAATCTTATAACAGCTTGTCTTCTCCAGATACTTGGGGAAGTTTGACGAACTAAAGTACAGAAAACACCTCAAGGAGCAGTTTCATAAACTCAATAGGGAGAACTGTGATTGAAAGGATGTTGATGGCCACTTACTAATAGGGGGGAGAGGGAGGGAGAAGAATCAGTTTCTCAGTGTCAGTACCCTCTGAAGACAGGGGCAAAGCCTTCCCAGAAAGTTTGCTTGCAAGTGTAAACACAGTCTATGTAAAGATTCTCTTGGAATAACACAGTATTAACGGCTTACGCACAGCTTCCTCCCCCGTTTCTAGAGCCCTGAAAGGACAGCCATCACAAACACCCCCTCCAAAAAGCAGAAGCACGCACACAACTTCGCTTGGGGAGGCGGGGGCTGGGGAGCGATGACTCCAACCGAGTTGCGACTCCCTGCCTACCGCCCCGGTAACCAAACTCGCTTAGACCCGACTCCCCGCTCACCAACAGAGCTTGGAGACAAACACCTCATTTATCGGGGTCCAACAGCAGCTCTCTCCACCAAGATAACCGCCCGGAGCAGCGAACCCCGCCGTACCCGCTCCAGCGCCGCCCGTCGCTCGCTGAGGCAGCGGCCGCCGG